ATCGGTGCATACTTGCATCATGGGGCTCGGGAGCTGTTTTACTCATATATAACTTTTCCCCACACCTCTCTGTGCTGCCTGTCACGAGGCAAAGACGTTATATATTACCCCTTTTAAATGCCACAGCTGGTCACAGATTGGTTCAGACGCCATCACCATATATGTACTTGTACCGTCCCACTCCAGCCTCAAGCAGCGAAGTACAACCCCACCTGGACACGCCCACTCTCCTCAGCGCCCTTAGACTTAAACAAACTTTACTGATTCACAAGGGAAATGATTTGGACACAGCAGTTCACACATCACAATCTAATATAATAACAAAGAGTAAAAAAAAAAATAAATGGTAATAATAAATTCGAAATAAGTAGCAAAAAAAAGGTGTCAAATAAGGCATAATTATCTAAATGTATATGTACAAGTCAAAATAAAATTTAAAAATAAGTAATAATACAATCAAGTAACAATCACAGTAACACATTTTGAAGCAAGATACAGTATATTTCTACAGATAAATATTGTGATAAGTGACAAAACTGAAACTACTTTATGCCACTGACACGATCAAATATAGCAAGATAATCCCAATAAACCATATTTAAATAGTATCATGTAAAGATTTTGAGATGCAACAGATAAAAAGCAAAATGAACCAGTGACTTAGTGAATTCTACAGCACTAATATTAACGCAAATGTCACAACTTTTGCAAAAAAAAAGAGAAAATAATAAATAAAAAATAAAGTACGCACGATAAATATTGAGCTCCAAAGTATACAGTTCCAGCTTTTCATAAGTCTATAGAGTAATTATCGTGACGGTCCTATACAATCTTCAGTTTTCCTTGTGATGCGAGTTCTTTGTCCCAACCTGTAATATTCCCCGTGCACGTTTCTAAAGCTTGAAAACTGTACAAAACTCTCCAAGCAGCAGCTCACCTCTGCTTCACCTCAGCCCTGCTCCAGACCCCAGCGAAGTGCCTCTGTGTGTGTGTGTGTACGATCATTTATCAGAGCAAATATTGGAGCAGATGGTGATTCTGAACGGGAGCCAGACAAACTACAGTAAAATGTGCTGGAGATAGACTGGTGCTGACTCCGCACTGCACGTCCCAGTGTCTCTGCGGAGATATGAGCCGTTTTACTCCAGAACGCCGTCCTCTCACTGCAGATGATGGTGCAGCTTCAGCTCAAAGTGGAAAAGTGGACAGTAGCTTTAGGTCACGTCTGATTGGGCATTAACATGAGATGGTCATTTCCCCACTGGTAAAATTAAAAGAGTTCAACAGTGCAGTGGTGCAGTGGTCAGTGATCTCGACTCACAGCTACAGAGTCTTGAGTTTGATTCCTTTGTGAGTCTTTCAGTGTGGAGTTTGCATGTTCTCTCTCTGATGTTGTTTTCCTTAGAGATTTAATCCTGGTTTAAAGTTACAGTATGTAAACTTTTGGTAGTAATAAGTCTGAATTATTTACTTAAACTTGTTCTTTTTTTTTGTCTGAGTGGTCAGATGGAGGACCTTTGACAGAGACCATCCACGCCGAACACCGATGGGGAGCACTATTTAGTTTCTTTTACTAAGTTTGTTTAAGGTTACTTTATTATCACTTATATATTACTTTGATTAAGTTAGTAGTTTTAGTTAATTATTTAGTGTAATTCTCCCCTCTTGTGTGCAGTTTTAGTTGGCCCTCATGTATTTAAACACCCCTGTTCTTTGTCTGGTTGGGTTTGTTTTGTTTTGGTCAGTTTGATTTAAGTTCCCCCAGTTGCGTCTGACTTTTTATTAATAATTTAACTAATATGAGCCTTTTTAAATTACTTTTTTGTTTTTTTTAAAATTTAAATTTAAATTATTTTTATACTTATCGTTTCCTTTCTTTTTCCCTAAACTTTGAATGCATACTTCATGAAAGTTAGTTTCAAATAAAGTAATTGTATTCCACAGTCAAACATATAACAAACATGAATGAATGAAAAGCCACAAACTAATAACATGCTCCAAAGATGGGATTCAGAAAGCTAAAATTAGACTTGGGCCCTTGTCCAACAAGTAACAGTTAGTTAAATCCAGACAAATGGACTTATTATTGTATTCCATGAATAACTAGTTTGTTAATTTAACAGTTTAAATGTTTAACTTTTATGTTTAAATTATACTTTAGTCAAGTTTAGCTGTTTAGTTAAGTTACTGTTTTCTAGTTTCTGAATTCATTTTCCAGCGACTAGGTCAAGAATCAGAATACACTAGACCAGGGGTGTCAAACTCATTTTGTCAGGGGGCCGTATCCAACCAACTTTAATCCCAAAGGGGCCGGATCAGAACTCATGTCATATAAACCCCAAAAATAAAATAAGTTCAAATATTTGTGCAGAGAAACACAAATCTATTACAGAAATCTTTTTTTTAATTGATGAACTCTTTCTTTTACAAAATATTTATAATATTATGAACAACCTGAAACTTTAAGAAAAATACAATTTCAACACAATGTTTTAACATGAACTTGTTTAACATTAACTTGTAGAAATAGAATAAGTCAATTTTTCTTGAAAATCCTGCACTCGGCTCCACTTTTCTCATGTTGGACATTTTTCTGATGAGGGTGTCATGGTAAAAGTCAAAATGATTGTCCATTAAGAGCGTTTGGAAAGAGACAAGTCTTCATTTGTGCTGCTCTGGTGGGAGGGGCCACGTACAGAGACATTGGAGATGCAATGATAAGCAACAGAAAATTTACAATATTTTAATAAAAAATAGAATTAAAATATTTTAGTAGGAAATCAGCCAAGGCCAGATTAAAGGTCTTGGAGGGCCGGATCTGGCCCCTGGGCCGCATGTTTGACACCTGTGCACTAGACAGTTTGCAAGAACCCCAGAAGGTGTAGACCGTGCACCAGCCAATCAGTGAAGAGTTAAACCAGACAGAGTTGCGATAGCAGCCTGCACTATCCTCCACTGGATTTCCTTTGTCAAATACAAACTTCACATTTTTTATTGCACCTTTAATTTGCAAGTTCACCTCGCAAAAACGACAATGATCGTTGACAGACATGTTCACTCTCTGCTTTGTTTGCTGTTGTGCCGCAGTTACTTGGACACCACTGAGTTTTCCAGCGTATTACGTACATCAAATCCTAATGCTGCAAGATCAGAGGGTTTCCACAAAGTGAAACCAGCTGATGAATCAGGCTTACATACTGTGGCTTTAATAAAGAAATTGATTTTATCCCGACACAGACTGATGTGTACAGGCTGAAATCTCTCAAATGCATCAAACTGTGACATCAACGTATTATTGTATCAAAGGTTCAAATAAAGTTATTGTCATGTCCACAGTCAAAACATATAACAAACAATGAATGAATGAACGAAGCACACAAACTAATCAAAACAAACATGGCTGCGCAAAGATGGGATTCAGTAAGTGAGTGCTAAAATATCAGACTTGGGCCTTAATCTTGTAACAACAACAACAGCAACCAGTCCATAGTCCCAATAAATCACAGACAAATGTTTGACTTACTTCACTGTGTATCCTCCATGACACTGAACCTAGTTTAATCATAGTTTAGACCTGGTTTAGTCCTGGTTTAGTCCTAGATTAGTCCAAGTTTTTAGTCCTAGTTTAGAACTGAATTAGCTGTAGTTTATTTGTAGTTTAGATCTAGTTTAGACCTAGTTTAGACCTGGTTTAGTCCAAGAGTAGACCTGGTTTAGTTGTAGTTTAGACTTGTTTTAGGCCTAGTTTAGAACCTGGTTTAGTTCTTGTTTAGACCTGGTTTAGTCCTAGTTTACCTGATTTCTTCTAGATTAGACCTGGTCTAGTTCTAGATTAGATTTAGACCTGTAGTTTAGTTTAGACCTGTTTAGTTTAGATTAGACCTAGTTTAGTTAGTTTTTGACCTGGTTTTCTAGTTTAGACCTGGTTTAGTCTAGATTAGACCTGGTTTAGTCCTAGTTTTGACCTGGTTTAGTTAGTTTTGACTGGTTAGTTCTAGTTTAGACCTGGTTTAGTCCAAGAGTAGACCTGGTTTAGTTGTAGTTTAGACTTGTTTTAGTCCTAGTTTAGAACCTGGTTTAGTCCTAGTTTAGACCTGATTTCTTCCTAGATTAGACCTGGTTTAGTTCTAGATTAGACCTGGTTTAGTTCTAGATTAGACCTAGTTTAGATTAGACCTGGTTTAGTTCTAGTTTAGACCTAGTTTAGTCCTAGTTTAGACCTGGTTTAGTCCTAGTTTAGACCTAGTTAAGTTCTAGTTTAGACATGGTTTAGTTGTAGTTCAGACCTGGTTTAGTCCTAGTTGAGACCTAGTTTAGTCCTAGTTTAGATGTAGTTTAGTCCTAGTTTAGACCTAGTTTCGTTCTAGTTTAGACCTGGTTTAGTCTTAGATTAGTTCTAGATTAGATCTAGTTTTTAGTCATAGTTTTGTCCTGAATTAGCTGCAGTTTAGACCTGGTTTAGTGCTTGTTTACACTTGTTTTGTCCTTTTCTTCCCAGTGTGTCGTCCATAATCAGACACAGACACTTCGCATACCGAGTCGTAAAACAAAACAGTGGTACAGTTGAAGTAAACAAAGCTTCTGTTTGCTGATATCAGATTCATCACTTATTGATGCAATTAGCCTCGCGCTCCGTGCCACAGGAAGCCAATCAGCAGGAGCCGCCCCCTGGAGCCAGAGGACCACCTTTTAGCTGCTCTGTTTAAATCTTTAGCTCATCTCCACTCATCTGCACATCCCTCTATCTCTCTATCCATCTTTCTCTCTTCCTCTTTTAAATCTCTGACCCCACGACATCATCAGCACGTTTGTATTGTCAACCAGATATCTGTGCTTCCTGAGAGGTCTCCCGGCCGGCCTCCCATCCCCCTCCCCTCCTCCTCCTCCTCCTCCTCTCTCTCTCTCTCCTCTTTTTCTCCCATAATCCTCTCTTTCTCCCTCCCCCCCGTGCAGCTCTAGCGTTGCAGATGCGCTCGGAGAAGCCGGGTCCGTGTGTTTACCTTTAGTGTAGCAGAGGCTGATGGAGCACAGATTCACAGGGATGGAGCAGCTTCTTCCTCTTCACACTCGACTCACAACATCACATGACCACGCCACCTGCTACAGCTTCTGGTCACGTGATGTACTAAGTCCCCCGCAAAGCATCCTGGGAAGTGGAGTGCAGGGGATTACAGGGTTGTGATTTGTGCAGCGAAAAGCAGACACTAGTGCTTTTAACAGCCACATTTTTTATTATTATTATTATTTTTGTATAAAATTATCATACTACACATGTACAGGTTGACTTTATTTTTACTTTTATTTATTTATTTATTTATTTATTTTTACTATTATACATATACTTACTAGGGATGTAACAATAACCAAAATATCATGATATCGTGTCGTCGTAGTTCTCACAGTAACATCCAATCCAATCCACTTTATTTATATAGCACATTTCACAAACAAACTGTTTCCAAAGTGCTGCACAAATACATAAAAAATAACAACAATAAGATGATAAAGTAAATTACTCAAATAATACTAGTCTTAAAGTAATAAAACTAGTAAAATAATATAAAACCAGTAAAATAAAAATAAAACTATATCATAGAATAGAAATAAATAAACCAATAAATAAATTAAATCAGTAAAACCAATAAAAACACATAAAAATAAATAAAAGACACAGCGTGGACCATCACAATATATCGAATTACAAGTCTCTTTGCTTAAATTAAGAGTTATGGTGCAGCAATAGCTAAAAAAAAAAAAAAGAGGGAACTACATAGACCATGATCCTTTGCTCTATTTCAGTGCAGACGACATGAAGAAATAACAGTTCTAAGCACTTTTAAGTCTTAGTTCTTTGGATTAAGTCTTGTTTAAGAGGAGAAAGTAGCATATTAAGAGTTTTGTTAACTTCCACAAAATATTGCAATAAATGCCGTACAGTGAGATGTATATCGTGATAATATTTTACCATGAAATTTGGATATTGTTACATCCCTAATTGTGAGCTTCCCCATGACATCACAATAAATATCATACCATGAGGTGATGATATTGTATCATGAGACTACACCCCTACTTCAATTACTTTTTTTTTTTTTTCTACTAATATATATATATATATTTAGTAGTAGTAGCAACAGCTTATAAACATTGGGAACTACATATCCCATGATTCATTTCAGCACAGACAACATGAAGAAATCTGTTTTTTACTTGAATTATTGGGATTATGACAGAAATAATTCACGCCAAAATCTTGCCAGGGTGTTTTAAAGAAAAAAAAAAAAAAAAAGTGTCCTATCTACAATTATATTAGAGCCTCTTTAAAATATCGTACCGTGAGATTTGGATATTGTTACATACCTAATGCTTACTTATTTGCTTACTTTGTTTATTTATTTATTTAATCTGGACATTCTGGATTGACTGGATCTGGATGGACTGGATTAAACCATATGTATTGTTTCAGATGTTCATTATAGTTTTCCACACCTGTCCATTGGAACCTTTTACATTTACATTTAAGTTATTGCTTAAAGTTTTTCTCAATCACTCTCCAAAGGCACATTTTTCCATCAAAATATTCAAACTATTGCCATATGTTTTGATGCGCTCTTTCATTCATTTAACACTGCAGCTCAGAAATCTTTCTTTCTTTTTTTATTTCATTTGCAACAGACAACATACACACAGACATTAGACAGGACAATACAATAAGTACAATACGGAACAATACAATACAAATGTGTGTGTCTGTATGAGTAAGAGTGTGAGGACAACATCGGTAAATATAAATGACTAAGTGTGTACAGTTATGTAAAGATTCTTAACAGTGTATTAAAGGGATAAGATCAATGTTGAGCAAAACAACTATGGAAATAATAACAGTACGTTTGCCAGTCTGTGCAGATACAAGTGGAAAGAATAAGAGATGGAGGAACCGAGGTATATTTGTTAATGACTTCTTCGGATTGGTGTTTAAGTGTCCCATTTTTTCATGTGCCCAAAAAACCTTAACTGAAATGACAGTGTAAGAAAATATTGCAGTTTTTTGTTGTTTTTTTTGGTTTTGTTTTGATTGTGCAGTTGTGCATATCGATAGCTTTGTGAGGTACATTAGTCCAGACGTCCCTCTTTCGATGACCACAGAGAATGGGGTTCACACTGTAAAACTGTACTGTCTGTATTGTATTATGTCAAATATAAAAGTACATTACCAAAATATAAAAGTACATTTTGCAGTATTTGATCATAAATATGTATGCAGAAAAAAATACATCAACACAACTTTTGTACAGTGATATGTAATGTGCTCTTGAAAATCAAACAATATGTGGTTTAATCCTCATTTAGTCCTGGTTTAGTCCTAGATTAGTCCTGGTTTAGTCCTAGATTAGACCTGGTTTAGTCCTAGATTAGACCTAGTTTAGTCCTAGTTAGACCTGGTTTAGTTGTAGTTTAGACCTGGTTTAGTTGTAGTTCAGACCTGGTTTAGTTGTAGTTTAGACCTGGTTTAGTTGTAGTTTAGACCTGGTTTAGTTTTAGTTTCAGACCTGGTTTAGTTGTAGTTTAGACCTGGTTTAGTTGTAGTTTAGACCTGGTTTAGTTGTAGTTTAGACCTGGTTTAGTTGTAGTTTAGACCTGGTTTAGTTGTAGTTCAGACCTGGTTTAGTTTTAGTTTCAGACCTGGTTTAGTTGTAGTTTAGACCTGGTTTAGTTGTAGTTTAGACCTAGTTTAGTTTAGACCTGTAGTTTAGACCTGGTTTAGTTGTAGTTTAGACCTGGTTTAGTGAACAGAATGGGGTTCATACTGGAAAACTGTGCTGTCTCTATTGTATTATGTAAAATATGTAAAAGTACATTACCAGAATTGCAGAGTACATTTTGCAGTATTTGATCATAAATATGTTTGCAGAAGAAAATACATCAACACCACTTTTGTACTGTGATATATAATGTGCAACAACAACTGCCTGTATCTGAAAATCTGACGATCTATCATGTGTGAAATCCTTTCCTGTTCGATTTCTGCTGCTCACAAATTTGGATTCACTGTTATGTTTGAGTTTCTGTATTGAAATAATATACTGACAGAGTTGGGGCCAAGTCCTCAGTCCTCAATGATCACTTGTGTTTGTGAACGAGGCTGTGTCAAGTGTTCTGTGTGAACTCATGAGAAATAATCCAAATGATGTGAACACTTGTGCTGCTGTTTAGATACAAGGTTTGAATCAAAAGATCAAACTAAAAAAATGGTAAGCCTTGGCAGTAAATCAGACTAAATATAAATTCATTATAGCTAAATAAAACAAAATATCTTTCATCAGGAGGTATTTGTCAGAAACTCTACGACTGCGGTGTATAGGTGCACTAGAGACAGCCGTATAGTTTGGCTGTGGTCCACTTCCCTGGCTCCGGTTCAGCCCAGACCTGAGAGGACCCACAGAGACCCCAGCAGGACTCTGGAGTCTGGGTCAAATCCAGCTGATCCTGGGTCAGATCTGGAGCGCTGCCCTCACCCCCCACGGCTCTCCTCTCTGTGGCTCTGGAGAAGACAGTCTGCTCAACAGGAGCCGTGTGGGGAGCACTTTGAACTGTCATCTGTCTTTTTCAATAGACAAGGAAATGATGTTGTAAATTAGTGTCAGGACTTCAAACGGAACAATGGGGCCAGTGTCTCACGAACAAACACGTACCTATGGGCCCGGTCAAGCAGAAGTAAACAGCAAGGCCAAAAAAAGTTAATACATCTGATATAAAAATGTATTGAACAGATACATATGTTCTCTAGTTTATCAAACTGTTCACCTTTTTTTTTGTACCATTTTTGGTTCTAAAGTTCCATACGTTTTAAACAGACCATGTATGAAACATGGAACAAAAATTATTTCCCAAATTTCAAAGACCCAAAAATCATGTAAATAAATGTTTGTATTTCATCATATCTTGTGTTTTTCAATCTTTGAACTGTTGATGAAGGTACAGGATTTTTCAAAAAACATGTATTTAAAATGATAAAAATGTTGCTTGGAAGGACAGACATATTTTATAGAAATAGTTTCCTTTCATTTTGAAGTAATATTAAAGTATTCGGAAGAAAAAATCTGACAAATTATGCAAAATCCTGCACCTTCTACTTGTTTGTACAATTTTCCCTCTGTTACTTTTCCCTCCGTTACCATGACCTTTCTTCATAAAAAATCTCATTGAGTCAAAAAGTAAGAGGTTTTTCAACCTAATCTTGTACCATATGGTAGAAAACTATATGAAGCAAATATTCAAACCAGTTTGTTAAGGATATGGAAGTGAGAACCAAGAGTTATCACTGTTTGGATTTATTGCCCAAAAAGTGCTGCATATTTCATTCCCTCCGTTACCAAGATGAGTTTTAAAATTTTTGTCAACAACTTGAAAGAATCTCACTTGACCCTGTTGGAGTGTAACTCTTTCCTACATTCTGATACTTTACTTATTTCAATAGTTCCTCTAGTTTCTGAATAAGAGACATTTGAATGTAAAAAAATCTGCCTCTGTTTCCCTCCGTTACCACTTGACTGGACCTTTATTGTAGAACATGATCATGTTCATCTATGGAGTGTTTTCATCAGGCTTAGGCATTAGTGTAGGTCCGGGGTTGGCAATTATTTTGCCATGGGGCCACATGAGAAACAGAAAATATTTTGGAGAGCTTGGCCAAACAGCTTATCTCAATTCTGCATAATATTTATTGTATTTCTTTATAAAAGCAGTAAATAACATTATTTTGATGAGCTGCTCAGACTGGTAAGAGTTTATGTTGTGACTCAGCAATGAAAAATGTAATTTAAAAAGAACAACTCTAAAATAAAAGCAGTTCAGCATTAGTCCATGCATGAGCTAAAATGATAAAATATGTTTATGTTTTGTAATTCCAGATTATCTTAAAGGGGGCAAAGCTGTACAATTCTCAGGTCTGCATTAGGCCATTGGGAAAATACAAACATTAATGCCATGTTTTATTCATTATTATTTATTTATATTTATTTATTTTATTTATTTATTTATTTTTAGGATAGATCCAATGACACCTCCGGGGTCAGGAAAAGTAGAATG